AATTATTTGCATGCGCCTCTCGCTAAGGATTAGGGCCTAGACGGCCCGCCTCAGCCAACCCGCCACGTGAGGGAGAGAGAGCAGTCTCCGTCTTCCTCGCGCCCAAGCCGGCCTCAAGCCCAAGGGGACGGCACTGCGCGGAAGAAGTCTGGCGGGGCGTGGCGGGGCACGAAGAACATTGGGCACGCGGGGCCGCGGCGGCCGCGGCGAGGACCGAGCCGGCCCGGCGGTACGGGTCTCGGACGGCGTGGCCCACGGCGTGGCCGCGCGGGTACCCACGAGTGGCTAGCGGGACGCGCGGGACGACGCTGCCGCCGCGAGCAGACTGGCGCTCCCTCTCTCTCTCCCTCTCGCAGCCCCGCGTGGCGCGCCGTGAGTGCGAGAGGGACAGGGCGACCAAAGTAAAAGCACCGTTCGGAGGCAGCCCAGCCGCCCGCAAAGCGCCGCAAAGCGGGCCAGTCCCGGCCGCCCGGCCGTCTCGCGTCTTGGACGTCGCAGATTCGCGGACCGCCGTCTCTCCGCACCCCCGCGCAACGCCGCATGCGAGCGACGGAGACGGAGCGACGACACCGTAAGGCCGCGACGACGCTGCCGTGCGGTATCGCTCGGCTGGCTCCCCTCAGAGGCCTGAGAGGGAAGGCAGGGCTTGGAGAAGCCGTCGGCGGAGAGGCCGTGCCGGGCCGTGCCGGGCCGTGCCCCTCGCCCTCACCGCGCCCCTCACCGGACCCTTTCTGTCCCTCCCCTTTCAAGTTCAAGTTCGCGGTCCCTACTCGCGGCCTGGGCTTGTCGGCTTGGCTTCACATCTGCCCGTGTCAAAAGCATGGCCAGCCTGGCAAAGGTCTCCGCCTCGCTCCGCCCCGCCACGCCACGCCCATGCACGGTCGGTGGACAAGTATCCTATCGGTCCGCGAGAGACTCCCTTGGAAACGAAACCGATGCGAACAGTCAGCTGACTAGCACCTTGTAACGAGAAGTGTCTGCTGACTAGCACCGAGCAGGAGTTGTAATGAAACAAGAAACAAATCTGATTCATATTTTTAAGGATTCCCTCGGTCAACTTTGAACTACAACTGTGCGGTATTCCGACAAACGCTTCTGCGCAATCGAGTTGTAATCCTCCGGGCCTTTTCCTATTGACAGTGCAGTGTCCCAGTTCCGCTCTAAAAACGAACAACGTACACACACCGAAAGAAAGCCCGCGCTCGCTCGCTCGCGTTGCGACAACCAAAACAAATATTGCGTGTGGCCCTAGGCGGGGCCCGGGGCGGCCCGCGGCCTCCGACCGCGCAGCGTCGTATCGTTCATTTATCGTCCGCCCGAGCACAGCGCGCAGTGGGCCAGAAGACCGGCGGAGGCGGCCAGAATTGCGGACGCGTTTTGACCTCCAGAGTCGCTCAATGGGACTCAAACCGAGCGTGTGACCCCACTAATGGATTGCTCTTCGAACGAGGAATCCATTGGTGGGGTCACACGCTCGGTTCGAGTCCTGTTGAGCGACTTTGGAGCTCAAAACGCGTCCGGGATTTTGACCGCCTCCGCCGGTCTTCTGGCCCACTGTGCGCTGTGTGCCACCGTGTGACACTGTGTGCCCGGAACACACTGTCTCGAAGCGCGGCAGTGCCGGGCAAAGCCGGGCAGTGCGTGGCCGGCCGAGGAGCCACGGAGTCGCAAGGAAGGGGGCGCGAGGCGAGACGCGGCCTCCAGGAAAAGGAAGCACCAACTTCACACCTCCAACGGCGACCAAGTCTCAGGCGGGGGCCGAGTCCTCGGTCACTTATTCATGCCAGTCGTCAATAATCTATTCATAATCCTCAGTTAGTCGTTCACTCCAGTCCTCAATGAGTCATTGAGTCCTCAGTGATTCATTCAAGCCCGCGGGATTATCCAGCCATTCATTGATTCGTTCATTGATTCATTCGCGCCATCGGCCATTCGCTCATTAAAGTCAATCGTTCTTTCATTCGCATTTCAGTCCGCCTCAATCGGCCGGACATCAAAGGAGCGCAAAAGCGCGCACAAAAGTAGGCGCAGGTCGGTGCGATAGTACACAGTGAGCACGAGTTCCGAGAATAGAACGCCGCTGGGTGGCTCTGCTTGCTGTGCCCTGGCTGTGCCCTGGTGGTGCCTGCACTGCATTAGGGCAATGCCGCATATGCGCCTTATTGCCCGGCCTGGCCCGGCCCGCGAGGGATTCGGAATGCCGCACTGGCAGCGGGCTGGCAGCGCCGTGACGCGACGGTGCAGCCAAAATACTACATAGTACTGCAATACAGCCGTCTGATTCAGAACACTGCTTCGTCACTCTGTCTCTCATGAGTGCGAGAGAGACAGAGCGACGAAAGCAGTGCTCGGAATCAGACGGCTGGTGGCGCCACTGCTCTAGTCCCACACTGTCTAACCCAGCGTGGAGAACTCCACACTTGAAATACGGAGGCGCGGAATTTGCAATCTCCGCACTTGGAAGTGCACCGTGCCAAGAGACAGGAGCTGTGTGAGCTACACTTCCAGTGTGGGACGAGGGGGCAACCACGTACGATGTTTGGGGACACGAGATTCCTGAGGACAAGAGATTTCGTCCATATTTAAGCCTTAAATCTGCCTGTTTTTCGGCCTTTTAGGGGAAAGATTTCGGATTTCCAGAGATTTTGGGGGGCCCCAGAGGACACAGGATTTCTCGAGTGGTTGCCCCGTCGGTGTGGGGACTGCACGTCCAAGTGTGGAGAATTCCTCCGCACCAGGAAGTGTGGCGTACTGCACACTGGGTTTGGCAGTGCAGCCCCCAGTGCCCTTCGTGCCCCCAGGCACGGCCCCGTCGTGCACCTCGATCGAAGACCCCAAGGGCCCCGAGGGCCGGGAGCACCGCGGGCAGCGAGGAGCGAAAAGGGCCGCGAGCGCCGCGTCAGCATCTCGCGTCTCTTGCAAAGGGCGGAGGCCACCGTCAGCGCTCCGCCATGGGCCACGGCTCGGCTCGGCTCCGCTCCGCTACTCCCTGCTCCACCCGCGGGGCGACGGGACAAACTTGCAGGTTCCGTGCCACGTCAGTGGAACACTTTTGCCGTCCCTCCGTCTCTCTCGCACCTTCTGTCCGGGGTACACTACACCGTTGGCGCCGCTCCGGCACTCCGGTCCGCCGCAGGACAGCCGGCCACAAAGGAAGTCGGCCGAGCCGGGCAGCGAGCGGGGCTTCGTCGCGCTGTCTCTCTCGCGGCTTTGCGGGGGGCGCCATCAGGGCGAGAGAGACAGCGCGACGAAAGCACGCTTCCAAAGCAGCCCGCCGCCTCGCGGGCTTCGCGGGCTTCGCGCTCTGCGAGGCCTGGCCGCGCACAGCGGAGCGCGCGGAGCGGCAGCGTAAACTATCCGCAGCGCCGTCCATGGAGGCCATGATTGATGAAAACTTGGCCAGCACGCCATGCCCGCCCGGCCGCGCCGCCGTCATCCAGGAGGGAATACACTCTCCTCCAAAGCCAAAGGAGGGAACGGGAAGTCACAGTGGGGCAGATCCCTACGGCGGTGTGTCGTTCCTCGTGCGCCAACCACTAATCTCATCGCAATCGGGCCGAATCGAAGTGGCATCGGCCTCGCCGTGACTTTCACTTCCCCTTGTCAGGACAGGGCATGGCACGGCATGGCAGGGAAGCGCGGAGGGCGCGCCTACACCGGAAACTGCGATTAGTCCTGCAGGAAGCTCCGCGCCTGCCGCGCCAGGAAGGCGCGTACGTCTTCTTGGCCATGGCCGGCCAGGCCAGGCCGCCTCATGACTCGTACTCGTCCATTGTCCTTTGCTCCCGATGACTAACGCGCTATCGGCCGAGCCATTCCCAAGGATCGTTTCGTCACTCCGTCTCTCTCTCTCGCACCCCAACGGAGCGCCCCGTGAGTGCGACAGAGACAGAACGGCGGCAATCCGCTGCATTCGCTTCCGGCGCACCGCGGACCGGTTGACTGCCGGCGAGTTTATAGAAACAAACAAAGCGAGCGACGCTGTGCTTTGGCCTATGCTTTCCGCTGACGGACTGACGGGCGCAAACTGTTCATGTTCAACACCTCGGTGCACTGCTAACAGTCGGCTTGCACGGGTCAGTCACAATTTCCAAAAAATTAATTTAAAAAAAAAGGGGATCTAAAAGAGTCTGGGCTCTGTTGCCCTGCCCTCACCTCAGCCTGGTTGCTTAGCTCCTTAGTAAGCTTGCTCCGTACTGGGTGCAATTGTGTCACAATTTTATGCAATAATTGCAATTCCTGTGAGTTTCAAACTAAAATTTCCAACATTAGCTGTGTACATAAAACAAGCCACACTACTAAATGGCACACCACCTGCAAGCAGCAGGCTGCTACCAAGAACCATTATCTGCACAGCTGCAGACAGTCGTCACGGCGTATTTACTAAGCTGATCTGTTGAATGGAAAATTAAAATGTGGTTTATTTAAGACTTTTGTATCCAGGCTAAAGATGTAATTGAAAATATTAAAAGGTCAAAATCAACACAAGTGACAAGTTTGTCATTCATTCCTAGGAAAATTGCAGGTTTGTTTATGGAAAAATGTTAAAAGCAGACCTGACAAGTAAATAATTTGCATCCTTTCAAAGAACAAAACAATCCGTCCATCGTTTAAAAATGAGTGAATGGAGTTTGCTAATTACGCCTTTCTGTTCGCCAGGCGCCTGGCCTGCCTCGCTCAATGACAAAACCGCAAGCCAGAAGCAGAAGACAAAGGAGGGGACGGGCAGACGGAGACGGACAGCCAGGACGCGATGGCGCCGAGACAGAGACAGAAGAAGTGGGCGGTAAAGGCCTCGCCGCACTCGCTGGCGCTAGCTGACGCCAGGGAAAGTGCTCGACGCGACGCGACGCGACGCCAGCACGTCACCGAAAAGCCAGGGCGGCGGGCGGGACTTGACAGAGTGGCGGTCTGACCAGGTGAGGTTAGGGTCACTTTGTTTACAAGGGCTGCCCCGCCCCTGCCGCCGGACCGGGCCGGCTTGCGCTGCTTGCACTCACCTGGGGATGCAGTTGGGCGGGGTGCGGTCCACTTCCCAGGTGGCGAACAGCTTCATGGGCACGGGCTTGGGCCCGGCCTGTGCGTGCGGCTGCCCATGGGAGATGTGGGTCTGGCCCAGGGCCCCCAGGGCGAGGGGCAGCTGACGGCCACCCACCCCGCGCTCCGCCATCTTCTCTTCTCCTCTCCTCTTCAAGTCGCGTTGACTTCACTTTCACGGACAGGGTCGGCCCGGCCTGTCGGCCTGTCGCGTCACTGGCCGCCACCCCGTCGGCCGGGGCTGCCACCCTTCAGCCGCATGCCGCGGCACGGCGCGGGACGCACAAGGCAAAATTAAAATTCGCACAGAGTCCGAGTCCGAGACGCCCTTTTCACGCCAACGACACGCCGCCTCTCTTGCCTCCTCTCACACAACTCGCGGTCGCGGTCGCGGCGCGGCAGCAGCGATACGAGCGCCCCGGGCTCGCGGCGGAACTGAACTGAACCTGATCCACCACCACCACCCACCCCACCATCACCGACTCAAAGGAGCGGCTTCCCCCTCCACCTCCTCTGCGGCCGCACCGCGGGGGAATGCGACACGAAAGACTCCTCTCCCTGTCGGAGACACTGAGTAGAACTCAAGGAGACGCTAGGGAGAGGGAATCGGGAATCGCGTTTGATAGCTAGTTTTCCTCTTCTGAATTCTCTCCATGATTGTGTTGGGAGTTGAGGGTATTTTTCAGGGGACTTAGGGCCCCAATAAACAACTTCAGAAATGGTCGGGATGATCAAGTTGGTTCAGGGACCATTTCATAGCGCTAAAATCAACACATCAGAGAAAAATATTGTTTTCTAGTAATAAAATACTATTATACTATCTGTTTGACATTTATTTCACATGTGCCTGCTGGCCTGGAAGAAATTAATATGTAGTGATTATGACTCCATGGGGTGATATTGTGGCGGGAAACTGGGAATCAATCAAAACAGAACACCACATGAATCTAAGGACAAGAAAAAAACTTGTGTAATTGGTTTTGACAAAAGGAGCAACTAATGAACAGAATGTTAAGAATTTCATTACAAAGACAATAAATTATTGATTGAATTAGAGCTGGGCTTCTGCAATTTACAAATGCATGCCAGCATCTTAAAACACTGTCAAGTTTCAGGAACAACACACAGATTATTCATAATTTGAATTAAAGCACATCATTCTTGTAAAAATTAATTACGACTAGTACCTGTAAGTCAGCAGTCCATAACAAGAAGTGACAAATATACAACTTCACTCACAGATACAATGAAATGATTTACAGAGCAACAGTCCCTACAAAAAGAGTTCTAAAATAATAAAATATATGGCTAAGTTGGTAAAAAACCACAGAAACATTTAAGTTCCATCGTCATAAAACTTTGTAGCGAGATTTCAAACCATGATGGCCTGATGTCTGAAGCTTCATTAACTCTTCCTTGATCAACCTCGTGATTTCAGTTTTTGCTTTCATAACAGCCATTTCATTAGTACTCTCAATGGCAAGGAAAAGTTTCCGCTCATTTTCAGGAGGTGATTTGCCTTGAGGATAGAATGTTCCACGAACAGTGATTCCAGCTTCTGAGTACTCACTAATCTGAGCCAAAGCTTCCTAAAAAATAAAGGTAATAAAGCAGATATTATTTGGAAAAAAACAAATCCAAGAAACTTAAGACAAATTATTATTAATTACTCAATAATGTGAACTGTACCTTAGAAGTGACCCGCCAACGAGCTTGTTGAGGGAAGTCATTGATTTCCAATTCTTCTTCATACTTTCTAAATGTTTCAGGTTCCTCTTCTTTGACCTTTTCTTCCTCTTCTTCTTTTGGTTGGTAATTAAGTTTGGTGTTTAGTTTTGCAGCTAGCTGTTCAGCCACAGTCTTGGCCTGAAAAAGAGATACAAAACACATGATAATAATGAAAAGTGCCAAACAAGCTATTGATAGGGGAAGTCTGAACCCATTCAATCATTCATTCTCCTTGATTCATCCATTCCCATTTTGCATTATCATTCATTCATTAATTTATTACCGTGATGAGAGGCTGCCCTCCAGCAGCTCCCTTAAGAATGGCTTCAGCAGTGACCTGCGTCATGACCTTTGCATCCGCGCCCAAGTTCTTCGCAACCTGTATTCTGGAAGCTAATCGCTTCGCCAGCTCAAGTTTATCAGAAGGCCCAGTAGCTGGTGCAGAACCAGAGGAAGGAATAACTGTAAAAAAATACACAGGATGTTTTTAAAAATTAAATTGTCAGTTGTCAAGAAGCTTTAGGTCTTATGTATTCTTCCTTTTACCTGGAACACCACCCGCTGTAAGAGATGCAGCTTTGATTTCTTTGACAATTCGCTTGGGAGCCATAATACTTTCAATTTGCTGGTCAATATCATTTTCCACGTCTTCATCATCTGAATCTTGTAAGCCTGCAAAATTTTCACCAGCGGTATAGTACAATTTTCCGTCACTAAAGTAATGAGGGAGGAGAACAAAATAATACATACCAAGAGCAGCTTTCTGGAATTTCTTTCGTTCAGCCACTCCTTGGGCTTCATTTTCGTCAAACTTGAAGCCCCGGCCTGAGAAGCCTCCACCAGTATGAATCTTTTTCCCCTCCTAAAAACACCAAGAAAACGAAAAATTTACAGAATCCTTTCAGAAGATAGTACACTTAATACTTAAATCAAATTCAATAACAGTACCAAATTCAATTTCATGAAATTTAGTTTAGCCTCTATGAAACAGTAATGAATGAGATTATCTAAATAATACTCTAAATATTGTTGAGGTTTGGAAAAACGAAACAATCAACTTACAGCAGCAGCCCTGGCTTTACACCTATCCCACATGATACGAAGTGCATCAGGAACTGGGACACCAGACAGTTCAAATGCACGGAGAATATCACCAGCAGACCGTTCTTGATCCGGTGTTAAAAAAGTGTAGGCAAAACCTTTGTTGCCAGCTCTATTAAAAGATTATTAGAGATTAGCATTTCATCCATTCACAGACGGAACATTGTTTCATTAAAAACTACAGTTATTATACCTGCCAGTCCGGCCAACTCTATGCACATAATCTTCATAGTGATTTGGGCAATCATAATTTACAACCAAAATAAGATTTTTGACGTCAAGACCTCGGGCACAAACAGAAGTTGCAACCTGAAATAAAAAAATACCCCAGTAGTACTGAATTGGAAAAATATGAAGTAAATATCAGGAAACAGTGATAAAATTGACTTACCAATAATTTCACTTTACCGGATTTAAAATCAGTAATTGTGGAATCTCTGTCAAATTGATCAATTCCACCATGTAGAGACATGCAGTGATAAGAGGCCTTCATGAGATCCTTAAGAAGTTCATCAGCACTTTCCTGTTTGTCCACAAACACTATCACACCACCTTGTGGCTGGTAGACACCAAGTAATTCTAATAATTTTAAGAACTTTTGCTCCTCCTCCAATATTACAACATGTTGTTCAACATCTTTGCAGACAACACTGCGTCCTCCCACCTGACAAACAGGATGTTGAGAATAAATGATGTTTTGCTTTAGGCAGACAGATCAATACTATGACAAAGGTATAATATGAACTTACTTGAATTTCAATAGGTTTATTCAATATTCTTCTGGCCAAGGCTTCCATCTGTCTAGGGAAAGTTGCACTGAACATGACAGTTTGACGGTCAGGCCTAACATTTTCAATTATTCTCATTACCTAGGAAAAGAAACAAAAATACAGAGACATTCGGAAAGATTGGTAAAATAAAATGGGGTTAAAAGAGCACTCCTTACTTGTGGTTCAAAGCCCATGTCAAACATTCGATCAGCCTCATCTAGTACAATGTAAGTGACTCTTTTCAAATTAGTCACTCGACCTGTGACAAAGACCAAGTTCACCAGTGATGATGTCCATCAATCTCTAATTTAAATTTAAGTTACCAGAATTAAAAGTACACTGGAGAAAGGCATACCACTGTTTGCAGCTAGCATATCAATCATGCGGCCGGGGGTGCACACAATTATCTCAGCCCCTCTCTTCAACTCTGCTATCTGTTCCGATATCCCAGTACCGCCGTACACGCAAACCACGCGAAGACCCAGTGGCTTTGTGAACTTTTTACACTCTCGGCCTATTTGCATGCACAGCTCACGGGTGGGACTCATGATTACCGCTGCAAAGGTACATCACCATTAGGGCACATCAACTAAGGGATGAGTTGTAATGGTCATAATCATGCCAACGGTAACATAACTTACCAATTGGACCATCAAGCTCTTCAAGGGGTGGCTGGTCCATAATGTGCCTCAACATTGGAAGGACAAATGCCAAAGTTTTTCCAGATCCAGTTTTTGCAATACCAATAAGGTCTCGACCTGACATAATAGCAGGGATGGCTTGTACTTGAATTGGAGTTGGTTTTTCATAGTTGTTTTTTTTAAGAACCTCCAACATTTTTTTACTTACACCGCACTGAGCCCAAGTCCTGATAGGTCTTGGACAACCTTTCCCCTTGATACGGATGCCCTCCATTTCCTAAAATGATCAGTAGAATACATCAACAATAGATATTTTTGAACACAATTCTTAACATGGCTTAACACTGCACAGTAACAAAACAATATACCTCTTTAAAAGCTTCCACTTCTTCATTAGACATCCGAGCAATTTCAGGAACCTCAACATAAAAACTTTTGCGGAATGGTTGATATTCTTGGGTACTGTGATCAACTTTGGCTAGTTCCTTCTTTTGTTTGTTGGCTAAAATGGCAGCAGTTTCATTTAAATTTTCTTCTTCTTCTTCCGATGAATACTAGGAATAAAAGTAAGCATTCCCAACAAATATTAGAAATTTTACACATGCTTTGAAGATAAATGCTGACAGCAAGCTGAACCTGCAGAGATTCATTTACCTCCAAACCATCTTGATTTTGTTCAATCAATTCTCCCTTTTTCTTATCTGATCTTTTCTTGGCTACACCTGACACAATAACTACACCAGCTGTTTTAACTGGGACAGGACCAGGGGCTGGACCTGAGCTTTTCGAATCCTGTTTATTGACTTTTCGGACTTCCTCTTGAACTCCCTAAGTTTTTTTTTTTAAAAAAAGGTTAGTAGTTTTTGGATTGAAAGATAATTTCAGATGTCAATAGGAAAATAAATTTTACCATCATGAATGCGTCCAAGGGATCAATTTCATCTTCATCTTCCTCCTCCTTAACTATTTCTTCCTTCTTCTCCTCCTCCTCCTTTTGCTCCTCTGCCTCCCCTTCTACCTTTACTTTCTCTTCCACTTCCTCTGTGTCATCTTTCTCTTCTGGGTCCTTTTTCTTATCCTTTTCTTCATCGTCATCATCATCATCATCTTCTAAATTCCATTTTCGTCCTGATGCTACAATATTGTTCACTGAAATTCAAAACAAAGCAATAAGCAAAACTAACAATGATTCAAAGCAGCATTTCATACGGGAATAAGAATCATTAAAATGATAATACACACCAGCAGCAGTAGCATTTTTGACTATTTGTTTGACGCCTTCAGCCGTTTCTGCCTTCTTACGCTCAGCTCGCCATAGTTCAATCCTCTCTCGGCGCTTTCTCATTTCTTCTTCTAGTCTCTTTTGTTCCGCTTCCTGAAAGAAACCATAGTACTTTGAGATGTAGCTCAACCAGAAATAAGGAAAAAAGCTGAAACTAACAAAAAGTACCTTGTCCAAATTTGCAGGGATATAAGCTTCATCTTCTTTGCTATCCTCTGTCTTGTCTTTATCTTTCCTATCCCGGTCTCTGGACTTAGATCTTGATTTAGAGCGTGAATCTTTCAATGGTTTCTGCTTAAATTTAGATGAAGAGTTGCGTTTACTTCTATCTTTATCTTTGTCCTTGTCTTTGTCGCTGAAAATGAAAAAGCGCCAAATTAATAATGGTAAAATCGGACAAAGGACAGAAATAATGCATGAAATATAAGGCTTTCAACGAACTATTTTCTGTCACGGCTCCTCGAGCGGCGGTATCTGTCTCTGTCTCTTTCCCTTTCCCGATCACGCTCTCTTTCCCTGTCTCTGTCTCTTTCCCTTTCTCTCTCGCGCTCACGTTCACGTTCACGTTCCCTCTCCCGTTCTCGTTCCCGCGAACGAGGGCTAGGAGTACGGCGTCTCTTCTTTCGGTCCTTAGACCTGCTTCGAGACCGCTTTCTATGGTGCCTGTAACAGAAAGAGAAAACAAAGAATGACACAGTAATCACAATGGCGCAGATAAAAGAAAAAATATCACAACACAACATCTAATGGGGCTATCAACGGTGAGGGGAAGATATCAATAATACTTGACACTCCCAAAATTGCAATTAATGTAAGGTTAGGACGCCCATTTGCAGCACGGCTTTTGCAACTAAATGATACATACAAAAAATAAATCTTAGTCGTAAACAGAACAAGAAGAAAACCGTGTTCCCTTATCTACGAAGAAAATAGATAATCAACATCCACACGCTCGTTAAATTAACGTCCAGAGTACGAACAATACCTTAGTGAGTGGACAACAGCATAAAATTTGAAACAAATGAAATTACTTACTCGTTACGAACCATCACGAAAAAAGGACACCAATGAGATTGTGAGCTCACACAAATAACCCGCGTAGATGTACTGGGGTAAAATTATTAATAATAACACAAATGTGATCACAACGAATGTAAATAACCTTCGGCTCGGCGTTTGAGAAGCCCGGCGAAAGGAACTTGAAAGAAGAGCATCGTCACCGTCATCACGTCGTCGGCAGAGAGAGAAATAACTAACGAAAACAAGCAAAAGTTTATCATGTATAGTGCGGAAAAATTCCGAATTCCAATACGCTTATGTTTTCGCAGGGTATTAACTGTTTTTAATTTTATTTTCTGACCAGCCAATCGTTTTCTCTGCCACATACTCAGTGACGTTTTATGACGTCGCAGGAAGAGAAATTCCACATCTGACAACAGGTCAATCATGGCGGAACAACAAGCTCCAAGCAAGAACGATATTCAAGCTATTTTGAAACGCTTGCGGTCTCAAGGACCTAACAAGGTCTGTCAGTCGTTTTCTGTTTTTAAAGGAGTCGTTTTCGTTTCCCCTTCTCGCAATTCCCTGGTTACGTGTGGTCATGCTGTCAAGCAAGTTACTCCTCCTGATACCATATTTAAGCACATCGTGGTTTAAATTTATACTCCTATTTGTTAAATTTTGTTTTAAATATTCGCTTGCGTCACTGTTTTTTTTTACTATGAAATTTTATGTCCAATGGAACGAAGTAAAACTTTTTTTTTTTGGTTATGGTTCTCTTGCCTGACAGCAAGACAGATTTGGATTTGTGCGGATTTGTGGCATACGTATTGCTCATAAGTTTGTTGAAGTTTTCAAACAATGTGAACACAATCTTGTTTCTTAACCTTATTGTGTATGTGCCTAGTTTTGTCTCCTCCTGTGTGTAATGTATTTAGTGTCAAAATCCTATTTCATCTATTTGATTTTTTTTTTTTTTTCAATTTTTTGGGGGGTTTCAGGTTTGCTTTGACTGCAGTTCAAAAAACCCAACATGGGCCACAGTGACCTATGGAGTCTTCATCTGCATAGATTGCTCTGCAGTTCATCGAAGTCTAGGCGTTCATCTGACATTTGTCAGATCAACCCAGTTGGACACCAATTGGACATGGTTACAACTACGACAAATGCAGCTTGGTGGAAATGCAAATGCTGTAAGTATCTAAAGTTCAATTTCTTTTCTTTTTGCCTACCGCTTTACTTTGTTCAATTCAAATCTAACATGGTATCCTCTGTTATAGCATACATTTTTCCAACAACACAATTGCACCACCAACGATGCCAACCATAAATATAATTCTCGAGCTGCTCAGCTATATCGAGAGAAACTACACAGTGCTGCAATCCAAGCTATGAAAGTACATGGCACCAAGGTTGGTTTCTTTTATTTTTAATTTCTCAATCAAATGAAATACCTCTGGGCTCGAGCCATGTTAAACTCTGTTTAGAAGAAAAGTTTTAATGACTTCATATTTCCATGTCATCAATTTTATACAATTTATTTCATTATTTTTATATCTCTCTGGGACAGCTACATGTGGCATCCTTGAAGGCTCTTTCTAATAGAGATACCTCTATTAATTATATGGTGAGCAAGGCATTTTGCCATGCTATGATTGCAACTGAGTGAATGTTCATTGCTCATCTAATATTCACAGTGCAAAAGTTGACTAAAGCAGATTAATGATGTTGAATGTTTGCAAGCTATGCTAGCTCTGCACCTAAGATTAGTGATAGAATGCTTTGTGTAATTTACTTCAACAAATAACTCGCTTCAAATTTTTATTAATAAAATGTGTTGCCTGTAAAGTTCTTCAATGCATGTTTGGTGACCATTCGAACTGCATACAATTGAGTTGACTCATGAAAATATTGATTGTATGTTGCTGTACTTAAAGAGAGGTCTCTTTCTTTTATTCCATCCCAATCTTCTACCCTTTTTTTTTTTTTTTTTTTTTTTTTTTGGGTTATCACATGCTTGTGTTTGCAGCTCATCATAGATCCAACCCATGATGCACCAATTGATGAACCTGCCAAAGAAGTGGACTTCTTTGAAGAACATGAGAAACTTCAGCTGACAGATGACAATTCTTTGGTTGGTGACTTGTAAAAAAAATTATTTTTATTTTCCTCTGTTACATACTGTTGCAATTTTATTTTTAATTTCTTTCTTTCGTTTTTTCTTTTTTTAAATACAGGTGGCTGCTGCTGCAGCTTCTGTTACTTCCACAGCATTCCACTCTTCTGTTCCGGATGGTGCAGCAGCCAACTCTGCTGGGCAACCCAGTGTTTTAGGGATCCTGTCTCCTGCTTCAGTACCTGATACTGAAGTTGAACGGAAGCACATCATTGGTAGTCGAAAGCCTGTAGCTAAAAAAAGTGGGGTAAGTATCACATGGGAAAATTATGCCAATTTGTAGGCATTGCTGATTGTGTGGGAGAATATTTTGGTTGCCTACAATGCCTGACTCACTGATGCTTACAGCTTGGTGCTAAGAAAGGACTAGGAGCTCAGAGAGTCAAGACAAATTTCTCTGAAATAGAACAGAAGGCTGCTATGGCAGATCAAATGAAAGAAACTGCCGCGCATGAAGCTAAAATTCAAGCTGAGAGGACTGCGGAAGAAGAGGAAAAGCAAGTATGTAATCAATTATACACCCAACGGTGCAAATTTTGAATTTTAACTGTACCAATGTATTAAATTTATTTTAAAATTGTTATAGTTAGCATCCATGAGGTTAGCGTATCAAGATCTCAGTATAGCTCAGAAAAAAGAAGAGGAGATAATGCGCACCACTGACCCTAAAAAGGCAACCCAGATGGAAAGATTAGGAATGGGATTTACCAATAGAAGGTAATATTTGATTTATGACTGATTAATTCTACTTGTTTTGAGTGCCAATTTTGGCTTTTGATTATGTCTTATGTTTTCTTTTTCTATCTTCTGTTTTCAGTGCCGTCAGTCATTCCGCAATGAATGACATGCAGACTATTGAGCAAGATGCTCCAGTCAAAAAGTCTTCGGCTTCCTATGGAAGCTTTCGCAAATCTATGTTTGATCGAGATATTGAAGAAGCCATGCAGCAAGATCGTGGCTATGTTGTTGCGTAAGTTTCATCTGAATAACCTGGGAGATGGTTTCATATTGCTGTTTTTGTAACAACTTTTTTTTTTTTTTTAGGTTAATGAGAGGGGCAATGACATCATTAAATGATGACAATGATAACGTTAATTGGGATTCTGAATCAGAATCAGATAGAGAAAAGGAGCTGGAACTCGAACGAGAGCATAAGCTTGAGGTTAAGCGTGAGCGCAAGCGCGAACGTGATCGTGAGATGGAGCAAGACAGACCGAGGGAGAGAGAATCTGAAAGAGACCTGTTCAAGAACAGTTCTAGTAGTTCGAGATGGGAAAAGTCCAGCACTGGAGGGGCCAACTCTCGATCTTATGATTCCACTCCCACTGGAAATGAGGCTCAAAAGAAGTTTGGAGCTGCCAAGGCCATTTCCTCTGATCAATATTTTGCTGACTCTGATGCTAATTCTGTAAGGATCACCTTAAATGTTTTTCTTCCTGACCAATTAGACCTATTGCATCAGAACAATTATAAATTCATTCACTTTGGTTTCAGTGGGAACGCAAGGCAAACCTCTCTCGCTTTGAAGGTTCAACTGGAATATCCTCTGCTGATTACTTTGGAAATGGATCATCGAGTGTGGGGTCACCTAGTGGATATGGCGGGCAGATGTCTTCTCCTGACCTTGAAGACGTTAAAGAGAGTGTGCGACAAGGAGTGACCAAAGTGGCTGGGAAGTTGAGCTCTTTAGCCAATGGAGTTATGTCTTCCTTACAGGTATGTAATCAAACTACATAATATTGAATGTTTTTAATAAACTGAGTCATGTGTAGGTTGTTGGTAATTCATTTATATATTATAATTTCAGGAACGCTATGGTGGTTACTAATTGTTGCACTTCTAGCTGACTGGAAGCACACACTTTGCCTCTGATTGAAAAGTCCCACCGCAGCTTTAAGAAGCCATTAGGTGCCGTGTTTTATAGTGATAGAGAAACTGAAGAGCTGGAACTCAGTTTTTATATATTAAAATTTTAAAAAATACTATTGGGACCTTTGTTACAAATTTACCCTTTGGAGGTTCATCTATTGTCATTAGTGTCAAGTGAGAATTTTTCTCATGTGATCATGTGATTGGGAAAGTCATGCCATATATCCGTCCTGGATTATAATGAAATAGTCTTTCCTTCTCTCTTGCTTTTACTGTATAGGTTCTTCTGAAACGTGGTAATTCAGACCATTGAGCATTGACTTCTCTTCTAATTTTTCTCTAGATTGAATCAATGATGCACTTACGATATTTCTATCCGTTACTACTTTCATCTTTTTTGAGAGAACCTTTGTGTTGATTTTAAGAGTTTTGAGAATTTTGCTATCAACAGCCAGTGGGACTCCTTTGATAGCCTTTGTATTGTGGTTAGTGGATGTAGTTAAGCTATTGTGAACCTTTATCAATTTGAAACTGTACTATTAAAAAACATGTATATGTATAAATTTTTGTTTGCAATATGGATTTTATTTTATATCTTTTGAACTATTCAGGTTAGCTTAGATGAGAACTGCTGAAAAGAGGGATATTTTTTCATTCTTTTCAAATTCATCTTTTCAATTCAGGCGTTAATTTTAAGTTATTATACACGACCAGTTTATCTGAAAAAGTCGTTATGTTATGATAAATTAACTTCTTTGTCTGGTTTATTGAGGTGAAATCTGAGCATTGAGATGTCATTCAAACCTATTCAAACATTATTGCTGAGTCTTTGTTTGCAAATCATGTTATCATATTTCTTGTCATGTTAAATGGGTTAACTGACTGTCAATGTCTTGCAATTGTTGTTTTTCTATAAAATATTCTTTAAGTGTCACTCATTAGGTTTGCTCTGGTTCATATGGTGTGTGCCTTTTTTCTGGCTGAAAAACCTGAGTGAAACAATTAGGTCACAACGGGCTTCCATTAATAGCACCCTATTAAACTTTCTAGTAATCTATAGTAATTTTGTTCCTAATATTTTGTGTTTCAACAGGGCTTGGGTTTGATATTTGATGTGACATTTTAATTATGCATCATTTGGGAAGAAAATATTAAATTATTGAACCAGTTTGCCATAAGAATGGCTTGTTGCATTAGTTCTGATTGTTAAGCATCTTTATATGCATCAAAAAATATTTTTAAAAAAACCTATACTGTAAGCCTTCAAATAGTTATTGTACTTTAACACCAATATGCTCATTTTGTTGTTACATAGTTCCATATTAATGTTGTTCCAGTGACATTTTTTGTCTTTTTGAAATGGAGTACAATTTAAAATACAGCTATACAGTCACCCTGTAAATTTAAACATCACATACCAAATGAATTTCCTGTTTGCACAGAACTATTAAATGAACATGTACTCAGGGTTGTTATCTAAACCAAAGTTCTACTCTTTTCTTTTGCTGCCCTCATCACAAGTTTTGTTCACTAATGGTCCCATTTCCCATGTGATAAACAGTGCAATGTCATCGTGTCTAGGGTTAATGCTAGTATTGACCGTCTGTATGAAAGACAATAGGCAAGGAAATGTATAATGTGTTCTTCTGTAAGTGACCAAACATTCAAGAAATGTTTTTGGGGGTTCAAATAAATTAATTAATGCTGAGATTATTTTATGAAGATTTCTTTTCATAGCATATTGTGTTAAGTTTTAAGTTTAGCTCAATTAAACAGTCAAGGTCAGGGTAAAAGCATGGAGTGGGGAGGGCAATCACGTTCTGTCAACTGTTATTAAATCTGTTAATTTCTTCAACTTGATCTAAAATTACGTCTCTCCTCCTGGTAAAATACTATGACCATTGATAAAACATCTGTCTGTCTTGCAAGGACCACTGTAGTGTTCAAAAGGGCGCGACGATTGCTTGCCAAATCAATCACACAAATGAAAATGGTTTATTTTATTTGAAGTTTCAAACTCTTTACAAATGACTCAGCGCCTCGCTGCCTATTTACGCGGTAGCTGTGCATGTCATTCCCAGCCGACACGACACGACAGTCGCAGCAAACGGGAGACGTAAAGGTAAAAGGAACGAGACTACAGCAGTTTGACGTCTACAGAACGGAAGCTGTGAGGGAGGGAAAGAAGCTTTCGGGGGGCAAGGCGGCGGATCGTTAGAGCGCCGCGCCCCGAGACGCAATACGCAGTCACGGGGTGCGGAGCCGCCCCGCACGCGGAGCTCTGCGAAGCACCCCGTCCGCCGGGACTCCAGCAAGTCCAGGAGGTCGGGGTGGAGTGCCTCCCCCACGCTGCTGAATGGCGGCCGTCTGGTGGGCTCCAGCCCGCGACCTGGTGGCGGCACAGTACGCGGTAAAGGGCCCAGGGCCCAAGGGCGAGCAGCCGACGGGTCGTGCGGCGGCAGCCTCGGACTCCTCGCACCTACAGGCGCACTCCGGCCGCCACGTCCTCGGGGCTGAGGTTGGCGTCGTGGGGCACGGCCTCGTCGTCCACCTCCAGCTCGCGGCCCAGGCGCGGCGTGAAGGACGCCGACTCGCGGCCCCGCTGCGGCCTGTTCATTGCCGGGTACTCTGCTGGCAGACAACGACCGTGGCGCGGTCAGGCGACGACGGTGGTGCACTACCTCGGAAACCGCCCCGCCCGGCCCGGACGCCCGGCCACGTAAGGGAGAGGGGGGCAAATATGACAGATAATTTCTTTTCGGCCTACGGGCGTTTTAAGGGACTTTTTCCCTTTTTTAAAGATAACTGAAGTATGGTATTATTTGAGTAAAAAAAGGTAGCATTCGAGTTGCCTGAGTCACACAAATCCCTTCCAAAAGCTTTTCTGGTAAACCTTGCAACTGTCACTATTTACCCCACCCTGGGGTAAATAGTGACAGGGTTGGGGGGACATAGTGACACTATCAATTTCCTTTGATAAAACCCCCTTCTTTACATCACAAAAAAGTTATAAAAAGTTTTTTTAAATGTTTTTGAAATTTAAAAGTGCCCAAAACTAAATTAAGAGGAAAAACCCAAAATTTTTTTTATCAAAGAGGGTACAGTTTTGGGGGTTTTCCAAAAGGGGGAGCAGCGGCTTTGCCGTTTTACCATATGTTAGCAGCTGCACTTCTTGTGTACTCTCACTGACAAAAGCCCTTTCCCCAACGTTTTACGGCTAAAATTCTTTAAGGCCCACCTAGGGTTTTGGGTTTGGTCATTGATCATTTTATAAAATACCCGTTTAATTTTTTTTTCAAAAGTTTAAAGTTTTTAGTATTAACATTCATATTTTGTTACTTAAAAAACTTCTTTTTACTGGTAGAATGTCCTGGAGGACATGGAACATCACTTTTCCAGTTAATTAAGAAAAGCTAAAATTTCATATTGAGCGGGAAAATTTCTTCGACAAGAATTGAGACCAGACCCAAAAAAAATTTTTAACGCTTCACCTCAAACCAAAATGGTCCAAAACCCAACATAAAGACCAAAAAATTAAAAGCCCAATAAAAAACATAAACAAAACAAAATTTGGCAATAAATTTAAAAATGCCAGTAAAAGAGTGTCACTATTTACCCCCGAATTTTTTCACTATTCCCCATGAGACAAAGTAAACTTTGCAACTTAACCTCCCTTTATCCAGATGGACTGATACATTAAAAATTTTTCGATATACGTATTGACTGTAGAGCAAACGGAGAAACATATGATAAGCTTTCAAAATCATTAAGACTGCTACAGGACTTCAATTGGAAAAAAAATTTAGGTTATGCCTCGTTTCCGGAGGGTCAATTTCCCAAAATTAAAGACGCCCTTCCCACTTCTCTCTCTTCCACCACCTTCTCAAAAAATCGTTTTGGACTTGAACGAAGCTTATGAAAAATTATGAGGGCAAAATCGCGCGGGAACAGTACAAACACGAACTGTCACTACTAGCCCCGTGTCACTATGTGCCCCCCTCTCCTTAACCAAGTTTCACGTGACGCCATTGGAGATCCCGGACAGCGGCTCGTCGCTCAGTGCACTGTCAAACCAAGTGTGGAGAACTCGACACTTGGAAGAGCAAACTTTGCAGTCCCCAAAAAGGAGTCTCCGCCCACATTTGGAGTGTGGAGATTACAAAGTCTGCACTTCCCAGTGTGGACTTCCGCACACTTGGTTTCACAGCGTGCGCCAGTGTCAGATCTCCAAAAAGAGTTTGACGTAAGGGGTAGGGTCGGGCACTTCGTTACAGGGGCACCTCGTTACAGGAGCCCCTTGTTACAGGGATGCTAGTTAGGAGGGTTGTTGAGGACATCTGTCCTAGCAGGAACTCCGATACATCGGTGGCCCGCCGTGGAGCACCTAGTTACATAAACAGAGATCATTTCCAGGCTGTATTTTATCTGTTACTCGGTGACCCCTTTTAAATTTTCTGATGGAACTTAGAGTCGAAGGTTCAATTGATGAGTTCGATGCAAAATGTTAAGCATAGGGCGGGTAATGCGGCGGCAAAACATGTCACTAGGTGCTCCCTCCCCCTCCAGCCTCCCTGCGCGCTGCGTGGCTGCGTGGTGGCTGACTCGACTCACCCCGCAGGTTGACCAGCGTCCAGGCCGCGCTGTCCGAGTCGAACCGTTTACTCTGCCGGCCGAGCCGTGGTGAGGACGACGGCACCCACGACGCCACTGCAACACAAGCAGGTCGTCCTCGTTATCCTCGTCACCCTCGTCGTCCGCGGCCGCCGCTCGAGTCTCACAGAGTGGCGTCGTCGAACCTTCGCGCTAACCGCTTTCTCGGTGCCTGCTATTGGATTCTTTGAGAGGTCATCGACGGCGTCGAGTCGATGAAACTTTGTCTTTGTCTCTGAGATGGATCTCGCGAAGTCCAACAAGAACTGGCCAAATTGTGTCAAACTGTGGCAAATGGACGCTCTCGCCCGTCACCGGGCGGAGAACAAAAGTAATCAGAAATACAGGAACCAGAGGGTAGGCGCTCCCCTACTAATTCCTGGCTGTTTGTTTACTTTGGTTCTTTACTTGGCGACGAGCGGAAGGGTCAATTCCTCCCTCCCTCCCTCTCTCTCTCTCTCTCTCTCTCTCTCTCTCTCTCTCTCTCTCTCTCTCTCTCTCTCTCTCGCTCTCTCTCTATTTTTCTATTTTTAATCCAAATCCCCAAACGAAAGAAGAAGAAGATGCGAGACAGACAGCGCGAGGCGCCTGCTAACTCCAGCATAGGCAACACGCACCTCCGCTACGCGCTGAAGAAGACCTGGAGGCCTACCTGCCAGGCGCTTAATCTGCTTCATCTTAGAATCATATCCTTTTCACTGCAATTCAAAAACTAAAACTCTAACAAAATTTAATTTCTTCTTGTTGAATTTTCTTCTTAAATGTCCTGATTTTTTCTTTATTTCTTCAAATAGGCCTAATGTTAATCCAATCAAACTATTTTGTTTCATTTTTTTCTAACAACCTAATGTATAATCATCTTCACCTCATGAAAATGGTTTGAAAATAAGCAAACAAAATGTGAAAACGGCACTCGCTGCTCTCATCAAAACCTCAAGAAGCATAAAAACAGCATGCTCATTTACCAAATCGACACTAGTCCTACATCATCCCCATAATTGTTAATTCAGAAACTAAACACCATCTCTCTCTCTCTCTCTCTCTCTCTCTCTCTCTCTCTCTCTCTCTCTCTCTCTCTCTCTCTCTCTCTCTCTCTCTCTCTCTCTCGCTCACCTCGCTTGCCGGGGTAGAACTCGGGCGCGACGAGCCAGGCGGCGGGCGCCCCCAGCGGCACGGGCAGGCCGGGCATGCCGCGGGGGTCGGCGTTCTCGCTGCGGCCCACGCGCGGGAAGGGAATCAGGCCCTGGCGCTTCTCTCCCAGACCTGCCAACCAACATCGGGTCACATCACCGCCCACGCGCTCACACGCGCTGACCGATTCAGAGAGTCGATTCCGTCGCTCCGTCTCTCTCGCACTCGTGGCGTGGTCCCTGTGAGTGCGAGAGAGACAGAGCGACGACATCGACGCCCGGAATCGGTCTGCAGGGCGACAGCGAGGCCCAAGTGGATCTCGCGTCCCTCAAAGAGGCGGCGCCCTTCCGCCCTCAGTCCTTTAGCGAGCAGGCCGCAGGCACAGAGTGGTGGTGATCTGAAAAGTGGATAGAGCACTAGAAGAGTCATGCGAAGAGTGCCACACAGAGCGCCAACTGGGATGGCTGCCGCTAGCTGCCGCCTGCCGCGGCGACTAACGACCTCACTGGACTGCTTCCAGCATTCAAATCGTTTTCAGAAATAGAAAGTCACGCTTTTGTTGTTTTTTACAAAGTTCCGTTCACCAGCCGAAGGCCGCGTTTTAGCGGTTTTAGCTTGGAAGTGGACCACGTCTGGCTCGGCCAGCAGCCCTCCCAGTTGGCTCAAAGGTTACAGTGCGGGAAAGGACCCCGCAATGTTGTTCACGTTCACACAGGTGTAACTTATAATGCACAGTGGCGAAGTCGTTGCTATAGGTGCAAAGAATAGGAAGAGACTACAATAGGAAGAGTCTACAAGTGTAGTGGACTACGAGTGCCGAGGTCTACAAGTGCGTCACAAGTGCACCGCGTCTACAAGTCCCGCGGTCACCGGTTGCACCGGTTGCACCGGTCTACCTGAGTCCCTGGAAGCCCACGTGGCCCTGCCCACCCGCGGGAAGGGGAACAGGCCCTGCACCTCTCGCTGCACTCGGCTGTGCTGCTCCGTCGGGCCGTCCTCTGCCGAAACAAACGCATCATTGGCGGGGGCAAGACTGAGAGTCGCTTTCGTCGCTGTCTCCCTCGCACTCGTGGGGCTCTCCATAAGGGTGTGAGAGAGACAGAGCGACAAACCGCTCTTCTGAATCGCCCGGCTGGTGGCGGCGCCGCACGCAGCGCGGCATTCCCAACGGCGTCACTCTGTCTCTCTCGTACCCGTAGGGCGTCCCGAAGTAGTGCGAGAGGGAGAGGCAGAGAGACAGAGACAGAGACAGAGACAGACAGACAGACAGACAGACAGACAGACAGACAGACAGACAGACAGACAGACGAAAGCACTGTTCGGAATCAGCCTCCGGGACTGGGAGTTAGGCCGGCTTAGTGCGGGTGCAGCCAGTGCAGCGTCACGCGTGGCTAGGCCGGAGTTAGGCGACCGCAACACGGGGCGCGGTGGGGCGGTGGGGCGCACCGGGATTACAGCCCCGCCCCGCCCCGCCCCGCCCCGCCCCGCCCCGCAGCGCGTTCCTCCCTTGCGGGCCACGCCGCCAGGCAGGACAGTGCACCGCGCACGCAATCATGAGTCCAATGCTTAGAGAAAAAAAAGGTCACCAACAAATAAAACAACAAAACTCAGTTGGACTGGAGTGGGCGGACTGGACTCGACGCCCTGTCACGAAGTCGGGCTCCCAAGTCACTCCGGACAGCGTTTGCTGCTTACGACTGTTGGCCGCGACGACGTGCCGCCGCGTGCCGCCGCGTGCCGCCGCGCTGACGGTGACAGCCTGTCCACAAACGGCAAACCCCTGAGGCGCTGCCGGGATTGGCGAGGCCCGAAACGGCAGCTGCCGAGATGGCCCAAGTTGGAAATGCACTTGTTGAAGAAAAACAAAGGGTCAGGGAACAAGTCTCGGCCGTGGGTTCAATATTCCGCAGCGGTGCAGCGGCGAGGGGAGAGCGGGGGGAGTCCTGAAAAAAGGCACGGCCGCTCTCGGCCGTGGCGCCGTGGCAAAGGCCGTGGCCATGGCCGTGGCCTCAGTGGGCACGCCGTGCAGCTCGACCACCGCGACAGCGAGCACCGCGTCGACACGAGGAAGCAACTGGAGGCCGTGGCGGTGGCACCTTGCAGAGCCTTGCGCAGCACACACCACATAGAGGTCTGGGGAAACGGAGGGTCGCGCGAATCGCGGAGCCCGAACCAGCGGAACGGAGTCGGACACCCATGGAAGCCCCGAAACGCCCAACACACAGTAACTAAGAGACATTTAAGAGGTGGTTTTCCGAGGCCTGCTGGGCCTTCAGGCTGCAGCTCACCGTGGTCCTGCAGGGACTCAGCCCCGGCCCCCAGGGCCAGCGCGGCGAAGAGCAGCACGTACTCCCGCATGGCCTCGGTGTCGTCGGTGTCGTCGCCGGGTTCCTGGTGGTACCGGGTACCGGACTCGGCTCGGTGCTGCGTTCCTCGTGGGGTGTGTGCTCCGGGCGGCGGTCTCAGAAGAAGAGGGTGTTGGAGATGAGCAGCTCGTCGTTTTATAGCTGCTGGGGGCGGGAGCAAGGGGAGCAGGGGGCCAGCGCCGCCAGCGCCGCCAGCGCGTGGACGGCCCGTCCCTGGCGCTCACCTGCGCACAGCCCCGCCACTGCCCCCTCCCTCCCCCGCTTCCCCGCGCCCGGAGCCCGGCGGCAGGCAGCATCCCCATCGGGCCGCGCGTTGTTGGGGCGTCGCCCCGGCGTCACCGCGCCCCGCCGGAACGCCCCGCCACCACGGCCCGCCAGAACGCCCCGCCACCACGCCCTGCTAGAACGCCCCACCAGAACGCCACGCTAGAACGCCCCGCTGGAACGCCTCGACACCACGCTTCACCAGAATGCCCTGCCAGAACGCCCGGCCCGAGCCCGGCCAGAACGCCCCGCCAGATCGCCCCGACTGGTCCCGACACCACGCCCGACAACGCCACCACTACGCTCCGCCAGAAAACCCCGCCAGAACTCCCCATCAAAACGCCCCGCCAGAACGCCCCACCAGAACGCCAAGGTCACCACGCCCCGCTCACTACACTGCCCACCACGCCCTGCCTACGCCGGCCGGCGCGCGGGGCGCCCCGCGCATGTGATGCGGGGCCGCGACCTACGTGTCCGGGATTAGCCGGCCGGCCTTGTCGTCGCGCGCGCCACGCGCCGTCCCCGCGGAGGCCACCACCGGAGGGACGGGGCGGCGCGCGGCGTGCGGCGCTCGGGGTTTCGGCGAACAGCTGCTATCCGGTCATGGCGGACTGGCGGGCGCGGCTACACTCCAAATTTGGCATGCCCATGCCTTTTGTCACCTCTCCACTTTAAGGGCGCCCTGGTCACCCTGTTCCTGGGCACCTTTGTCGCCTAGTCTCGGGGTGCACAAATCATTAAGCGACTTGCTCTTGGCAGCACCTGAGGTGCTTCAGAAACTGCATACCTGTGCATGCCCTACCATGGGAGAAGGCCAGATGTGTGAAGATTTGTGCACCCCGAGACTGGGCGACATTTGCCCCCTACAATGTGGGGCCCCGTTTCTGGGCCCGCCAATTTGGAGCGTAGCGCTGCACAGCGTGGCGTGCACAGCGTGGCGTGCACAGGTCGAGGCGAGGCTGCACACTCATTGAGTGGCTCTGCGTGGGCGGCGCGCGGAGCGAGAGTTCTCCGTTCCGCCTCGAGGACGGCGTGCCGGCGTGCCGGCTTGCCCCACCGAACAACATCAGGGCCCGCGAGTGAACCGTTTTCGCGCCATTCCACGTCATAAAAGATTGACCGTCGAGGCGGAATGACGCCGCCGTCGAGAACACTGTTTGCGCTCTGTCTCACTCGCACCGAGACGTGGTGCCCCACGAGTGCGAGAGAGACAGAGCGACGACGAGAGCAGAGCTCGAAACCAGCCTCCTGCTATGAGCTTTGCGCGACGCGAACCGACCGTTAAAAGTCGTGTCAGCCAGCTTGTCCGGAATACCTGCGGGCGGATAACTTCCAAATTAAATCAAATTTTCAGGAACTTCCTTTGGTTTACGCCGGGCTACCGCTGGATCATCCCAGGTTGCCACCGATTTCTGGCTCCGGGTGCTCCCGCGCTCCGGAAAGCGCGGCGAGCGAGTGAATTGACTAGTTCAACAGGCCCGTGGCAGCAGAGGGTGCCTTGCAGAAGTTACACAGCCACCGACGGTCTGACCGGCCGAGCGCGCAGCATTCGCAGCAGTAGCGAGCGCCTGCAGACGGAGGGGTAGGCCGGCCCGCCGCACTCGGCCGGCGTGCGGGCTGGCCCGCCCAACATTGCCATTACCATTAAAGGCCAGGCCGCACATGATCGTGGCGCTCGAGGCGGCCGGTACGCCAATCCTACGTCACGTTCCTCCGTGGGCAAACCGTGTCACGGTCGGTTGAACATGATAATCCTGTCAAATGAGCAAGAGTCACATTCGTTGTGCACACAGAAAAATTGTTTGTTAATCCTTTTTTGTAAGAAAAAAAAAGAAAATATTTCTTTATACTGGGATAAATAAAAATTTTCTTTAAAAAAAAAACACACAAGAAAAGTTAACTAGTTTAGATCCAAGCAGTCATTTTATTTTGGCGTGGATTGACGTGTTGACGTAACATTCGAACGACCGTGACATGAACATTCGTTTCTTTGAAACACAGTGTGGTTGTCGTGGAACTAAACCCTCGCAGGAGGGACTCTCAGTATTAGCGGAAAAAGCCCAGCCCTTCCTAAATCGACAAAATTTTCCTTAGTCTCTGTCTGTCTGTCTGTCTGTCTGTCTGTCTGTCTGTCTGTCTGTCTGTGTCTGTCTGAAAATTTACGGACGACCAGAATACAAAAGCACGGAACGTCCATGCTTGTTCCAAGGTTTCGTTGTTGGAAAGTACGGATGGTTCATAAAAATTGTTAACCGGTCTTCTTCCGCAACTTTTCCGTACTTTATTTCTCCCAGAGAACCACTGAAGGACGCACGGTCGTATAGGATAGCAACGCCCGAGGCAACGCCGCAAAGCTGATACGTCGTACGAGAGGTAGACCGGCGCAAAAGGTGGACTTCCTCGGAAAACCACAGAACTCCTTGGATTCACGCATGCTGACCAATTTCAAGACTCCCTTGGTTTTGCTCGCTTTATAGGGGGCGTTTTTACCGTGTGAAATGCGAAATTTTTGGCCCTTTACCACCTTGGCAGGCAGGCCCTGAGTGCGCAGGCAAGCAACACGAGCCTCACCTGTTTCGGCGGCAGTTTTAACGCCAATGAGTTGGCTAAGATTGTCGATTCTGATTTTTCGTGGAACACGAGCCGCATGCGCCGCACGAGTCATTCGCAAGGCGACGCAAGGCGTGCCGCGTTGCCCTATATAAGGGGTGGCTCGACGTGAGGCGGCACACTCCATCACCATGAACTTCCAACTGCTCTCAGTCTTCGCGCTGGTGTGCCTCGCGGTGAGTAGCCTGGCTAGAATCTTCTCCCCGTGTGTCACTCGCTCCTGACCTCATGCCACGAATGTGACAAACGTGGTTCACACTATTGTGGGCGTGGGACATTTTGGTTCCCGTCAAACTGTGAGAGACTGTCCCACACTTCAAGGGGGCAACCACCTGAAATTTTTTTGTACACAGGATTCTTCAAAGGTAGGGATTTCACCGAGATTTCGCTAGATTTTTAGAAATGATCATAGCTAAGCGCGAAATTGAGCATACGCGAGAAATGTACGCATTTCTGCGTATAACAAAGCACATTTCCATGCTTAGCTACGCACGAATTCGCGCATTTCAAAACGCGTGCCCACGCAATGTCGTACAAAGTTGTGCATAACGCACTTGTGAGTGCACTGTACCTGCCAGGATGAATGCATTCTAGAGCTCCCTGTCTGACTGGCTGCAGGCCGTGCTGGTCCACGCCGAGGAGGAGGAGCAGCCCCACCTGCTCGTGAAGCGCTCCGGCAACAGCTGGTTCAAGAACCCCGGCAGCCCCACCTCCAGGAGGACCGTCAAGGACGGCGTCGGCCAGCAGGTCGACTACACCCAAAACGAGAACACGGGCCACCAGACCAACGGCTACCTCGCCAAGGGCAAGAACGCCCGGGACTCCTCACCCATCCGCTCCGGCCAGCCCCACTCCGGCGGGGAGGCCGGCACCAGCCAGAAGAAGGGCAAGAAGAAGGGCCACTAAGAGGTAGGCCTGCAGCGCGACCAATTCCTCGCCAATAAACGGCTAGCATCTACTATGCAGCTCTCAAATTGCACTCCGCCCCTGTTGCCCCCTACCACCCGAAAGGGTAGCCTCACCAACTCACGCAGTTGGAACATGACAACGACCAGGCGTGGATCCAGAGACGGTTCAGGCGCAAAATTTGCCTACCTACACGGCAAAAACGGTTCCTGGTTTTCCCAGGAACTCCCTGGAAGTCGCCTACGTCTTCCCTATGGGCTTCCTGGGAAAACCAGAATCCGTTTTTGCCGTGTGTAAGGGCAAAGTGCGACTTTTTGCCTACCTTTTAGGCTTCAAGTGTAGGACACTGTTCCCGGGTCGGCATAATTACTGCAGTTTCGGCTACTTTGCCCTGACTATACACTCACTGTCCACGACACTCTCTCGCGTCACATTCGTTGGAGCTGTTGCACGTTCGAACAAGGAACGGCGCACACGTTGTGTGAGTCGGGCGTGCCATGGTGAAACGAATCTTCAAACGAAGGGGACGCGCTTCACAATCTTAGCGAGCGTGACGTCTCATTCGTTGAATAAACAGTAAACCTTCCCCCGCGAAATGTCCCTTTTCAAACAACTTTTCCTTTGCTCCGCCGGTCGTCGCCGACAGCACCGCGGTGCTACCCTTTCAGCGTGCCCGTCGGGGCGGACCGTACTTTTGCCCGGGGGGTTTTCAGACACCTTCAGCGAGGCGGAAAAATGAAGCAACGCGACACGAGCGACGCGGGGGTTGTTTCCTCGCGTTTCGAGCCTCGCTATTTATTTGTCGAATCAAGTTGGATCTGCCGCCGCCGCGTTCGCGTATCGGGCTTCATACTTTTAGCTCGACACAGCCAGTGGCAGCCAGCGAGACGGCCTGCAGGTTCGTTCCGAGCAGCGCCTTCCGTCTCTCTCGCGGCCCCACGGTGACGGCCCACGACTGAGAGGGACAGAGCGACGAAGAGACATGCGTCGGCGGCACGGCGCGCCAGGCGAAACGGGTGAAAGATTCGCAGCTAATTAAAACGGCTCGGGGCGTGGCCGACTGAGCCGAGCCGAGCCGAGCCCCGGGCGTCGTGCCGTCGTCAGGCGCGCTCAGGCGACACTCCGGGATCTCTTTTATTAGATTCATATCCGCCGTGAACGCAGAGGCGGCAGGGAAGGGGAAGGGGAGGGGGAGGGGGCTAGAATGACGCCACATCTTCCAATCAAGGCACCCCGCCGCCTACAGGCGTCTACGGGCGAGGGCTGCCCGACTAGCCCCGCATCGCTCCGCACCAGGCCTGAGCGACATCGCCCGGCCCGGCCGACGTCCACCACCTGAGACTCGTGGCCGCCATCTCTCTCTCTCTCTCTCACTCCAGCTGCGCGCAGCACGAGTGCGAGTGAGACAACGCCGGACACGCGAGTGGTCATTCAGCAGCTGGATCAAAAGGAATGGGGATAAACCGACACGCCGTCACGACGCCGACGTCACGTTTTACGCCCAGCGTGGTGGCACAGTGTGGTAGACCGGTGTGGTAGGCGGCTTGTGTCGACGCGGCACTCGTGGTTTTATTTTCCAAATTGGACGAAACGCCCGTCCGCTAGTGGGCGCTGGCAGCCTGGCGCGGCACAGTGGACGTTGACGGGGAGGTGTTCTTCTGATTTCCAACCCTCGCAAGCCGTTGTCGTAGTGCCGCTGAGCTTCCCCCACCCCCTTTTTTTACCCCCGGCCACGCTCCGCTGCCCGTCGAGGTAGTCGCCGTCTCACTATGAGTCTGGCAGCAGGGGCCGGGCCGCAGACTGATTCCGAGAGTCGTTTTGGTCGCTGTGTCTCTCGCGGACCTACACGGAACGTCCCTTGAGAGTGAGAGAGACAGAGCGACGAAAACGACTCGCGGAATCAGTCTGCTGCTTCCTCAGCTCGCGCTTGACGCCGAGGCGGTGGGCTGGCCCGCATCAGTGCCAGCAGACTGGCCCCGCCGATGGAGACGCTCCATGATCTCCCCTCCCCTTCCGCCACGCTTCACTGCGGCGGTGGAGCGGACGGCGTGCAATCGCGTCGTCCTCCGCAAATGATGCAAAATGATGTGATCATCGGAAGCCGTCGGAAGCGAGCGTCCCGCCGCGCTGTGCCTTTCCCTTTCTCCTTCCCGGACTAGCCATCCGTTAGCCCACCAAGAAAACTTCGTCCCTAGAGTAGCAACTGGTAAATTTTTTTCTGAATTTTTTTTTTTAAAGAAAAAGCTTACTATTTGCGTACCCTTTTTTTAGGAACAAGATTGGGGGTTTCCGGGAGTCGTTGTCGTTGAGAAGAGCGCCCCCCCCCCTTTTCCCCACTTCCACCAAGTGCTGCTGAAACGAAAAAAAAACACCGGGGTACAGAAATAGACCATTTGTTCGTTTCACATTTCGTTTATTCACAAAACAAGATGGTGGCTGTACTTCGACAATGAGATCAAGATGAAGTAAATGGTGTTTGTTGTTGGCATCCTGCGCCGACTGCGCCGCAAGTCGCTGGGCTCCGGCCGGCTCCTGTCACACAGCGGGCGAGACGACAAGCACGGCCGGCCAAAACTCCAGGCGCGTTTTGAGCTCCATAGTCGATAAACAGGACTCGAACCGAACGTGTGACCCCCTCCTGGTTCGGAGAGCAATCCATTGGTGGGGTCACACGTTCGGTTTGAGTCCTGTTTATCGTCTCTGGAACTCAAAACGCGTCTCGAGTTTTGGTCGCCTGCACCGGTCTTTTGGCCCACTGTGCCTCGGCCGGCTCAGCTGTGGCTGCGGCCGTACTGCACGATCATGGGACGGCCCCTGAGCAGGAAGCCGTTGGCCGCCTCCAGGGCCGCGCTGGCGGCGTCCTGGCCTGGAACACGAGGCACTCGGCGTCAGCGGGCGTCAGCGGGCGTCAGCACCAGAAGACTCTGTCTCTCTCGCACCACCACGGGACGGGACGCCGCTCGTGAGTGCGAGAGAGACAGGTGCTGTCCGGAATCAGTCTGCTACAGCAGGTCTCGCTCGGCGCCGCAGCACCGCAAACTTTGTTAATAAGACCGACGGGAAAGGACAGGACAGGTCCGTTAGAGCCGCAAGCGTTGCCGGCGTTCTCACCACCGCACGCGACGTGACGGGCTCCTGAAGAATGTTAAGACGCACAGCCGCGCGAGCAGCAGAGCGCCGGCAACCCGCTCCATGTGGGTGGTTGCGGGGCAAGGGCGAAGCGACGTTGCAAGGCCCAACTACCCCTGTTGCACACAGTGGGCCAGAAGACCGGTGGAGGCGGCCAAAATTCTACGCGTTTTGAGCTAAATGGGACTCAAACCGAACGTGTGATCCCACCAATGAATTCCTCGTTTGGGGAGAAATCCATTGGTGGGGGTCACACGTTCGCTGACTCCGGAGCTCAAAAACGCGTCGCCCCCACCGGTCTTCTGGCAAGTCCACTGTGTTGCGGTGGACAGACCGTGGCTGTGGCGCGACCCTCTGGGCACTCACTGGGGAAGGTGACGAAGGCCTGGCCGCGCATACGGCCCGTGCACAGCCGCATCGTCGGGCAGGGCCGGCTGGGCCCCGGCGACGCCTGGAAGGCCTGGAAGGTCTGGAAGCTCCCGAACACGGCCGCCAGGTCGTCCTCGGTCACGCCGCCGTCCAAGTTCTTGACGTACAGCACCTGCAACAAGCCCCATGTTGACACCCGCAGCGCGCAGCAGCTGGTGAAAGTCGTGGCCGGGGAGCTCACCGTCGACGGGGTGCCTTCCTCGTACGACGCGAACCGCGGCATTTGGCGGATCTCCTCCACAGACATGCGGTTCTTCCGGAGGTCCTCTGGGGACAGCGCCCCCTCCCCGGTCGCCACGAAGGGCGCGCCCTTGTGGCTCTGGGCGTGGCCCTGGGGGTCCTCCGGCCGGCCGGCGCGGTGCGCGGCCGCCGCGCCCAGCTCCACGATCTTGCCGTCCTGGATGGTGTACTGCTTGGCCCTGGCGGGGCCGTGCGGCCGCCGTGCGCAGGCCGTCGAGGTGTGCGCCTTGGAGTGGCGGGCCTCGGCCACGGCAGCGTCCCGGACGTCCCACAGCGACGCGCCCACGCCGTCCACGCCGCCCACGGAGCTGCTCGAAGGGCGGCCGCCGTGGCCACCCGCGCCCTGTGCCTGCAAAAGAAAAAGCAACTACTGCACGACGGCCGAGTAAAAAGGGCGCACTGTCCCTCGGCCTCCGGAGTGCCGCCTTTGAGGGTGGCTTGGGCTCTCTGGGGCAAAGGGAGTGGCAGGCCTGCACGCATTCACCCTCGAACTGAATCAAATTGAATGCGCCGAGGGACCTAACAATCTGTAACTGCACTGTACGTGTTGAGTCTTCGGTTTATTTCATTTTTCTAATTCTCGAACTTGTGCTACACTCCGACCAGAAAACAAAGACCTCTGAGTTCTCGCGGTCGAGGCCGGTCGAGTCCCTCTGCCGCCTTGGCTACCATTACCATTGGCAGTGGTCCTCGAATGCGAGAACTCGGAGCTCTTCGTTTCCTGGTCGGAGTGTATTTTCTGTAGTGGTAGTTGTATTTTCAGCAATCCCCTATCGTTCGGGCCGGAGTGTTCGGTGTGTTCCGTGCAGCCGGACGCCAGGACGCCGCAAGGAGGGGAGAAAGCTGACAAGCGTTCACAGGTAAGGCATTTTTATTGCAGCCCTATGGGCACCCTCGCTGTGCGTTGCGCGATTGAAACTTCAGTTCTGGAGTTTCTTGTTGACGAAGTTGACGGCCTTGTCGAAGGCGGCGCCAGTCTTCTGCTTGAGCAGGGAGACGATCCTGGGGGCGTCCTTCTGCCACTCGGCGCCCAGCTTCTCCTTGAGGGCCTTGATCTGGGGCACCACCTTGGTCTGCCACTGCGCCTTGAGCTGGCCGGCCTCCTTGTGGGCCCAGTTCTTGAGCTGCGCCTCCTTGGCGTGGAGCCACGCCTTGAGGCCGTGCTCGGCCGGGGCGCCGTGGGGGCCGCGCTTCTGGGGGCCACCGTGACCGTGGGGACCACCGTGGGGACCGGCGGGGGGGCCACCCTGGGGACCACCTTGCTCTGGCGGGTGAGCGGCGACGGCCTGCGATTGAGATTCACAGATTGACGTGAGCTTGGCACCACACTGGCCGCCTGGCTGGGCTGCTTGCCTTTCGGTGGCACCCGGACTTACCGCGACGACGGCGCAGAGGGCGAGGACGACGAAGCTGAGACGAGCCATGGTGGACGATGATGCCCTCCGTCCCCAGCGCCGCCCTTTTAAAGCCCAGTGGTCGTGACTCGTGCCCAGACCGTCAAAACAACGAAACCACGACCCAGTGCCTGACGCACGATCTCGGGTCTACGATGCCACACAGTAAAATTACTATGTAATTCTTTCCGTGTGTAAATTTTTTGCACGAAATTGAGCGTGCGTGAAATCCACAAATTCAAATTTTCGTGGAGAGATTAACACAGGAAAAGGCACAGTTGTTCAGTGTGAGCAACTCCGGCGACGCGGCCAGCACCAGCTAGAAATAACAGGAAAAGTAGCGATACACATCGGCAACTTTGGCCCGTCCCTTTCATTTAGAAATGTACAAATTTCACCTATGTTTAACCCTAATGGGATTTGAATCTGAGTCTGGGGTCAAAACAGATGTTATTTTCGTCATCAGCGCCCTTAGAAACATCAGAAACCGAGTCAGAAACAATGCAAAAACTCGAATAAAAAGAATGTTCAAAATATACCCCACTGGGATTTCAACCCGGGTCCAAACTTCTCCGATTCGCTTGAAACGGGCACCGTTGGTTTTGTCTCGTCGCCCCGGTTCCAAAGACAACCTCCTAACAGTGTGGGGCCCAGGACCGACATCGTTCTGTCAGTTTTGCTCAAGTCACACTAACTCTTCCTCGCTCATAAACATCTCCCTCGTCGTACAATTTTGGCAGTGAATTCAGTTATTGACATTATTGCCTTAAATCAAACTTCCAAACAAAACTTTCAGCACCAAATTGCTCCTTCTTTTACTGTACTGATATCGTTGCACATGCGACTATTAGCTCTATTCGATAAGTTCGGCGAAGCCGTAAGCCGTAGACCAGTGTACGTCGTAAAAAAAACCACCTTGGCGGACTCACGATTGTCACGGAAGAATATAGACGAACAGAAGAACGATAATGACTAGACAGTGACTTCAGCCTTGGTGACGATGGATAGGGATGGCTCGGGCACAGCAAGGGACAAAGTCACCACACGTAAATACATATAGGAGAAGGTTGGCAACCCGAGGCTACAAATGCTCCGGAGGGCGCCTGTCAAGCTTGGGGTAGGCAACACGAACACTCGGCTGCATTGGGGTTGCCTACACGACCCCCCTTGCCGCCTGCCAAGCTGGTGGTAGGCAACACGAACACTCGGCTGTTTTGGGGTTGCCTACCCGACCATTACCATTACCATTAAGGGCTAGACCACACATGATCGCATGCCAGGCAACACGAACACTCGGCTGTTTTGGGGTAGCCTACCCGACCCCACCTGCCAAGCTGGCGGTAGGCAACACGAACACTCGGCTGCGAGAGGGTTGCCGTGTCCGCGTGCGTGTCCGCTGCCTTGCCTTACCTTGGGCTGGTCGACGGCCTGCCTCAGCCGGCGCCGCTTCCTGGAGGTGGCCGACGGCGCCTCCCCGCTGGTGGACGGACCGGCGTCCAGGTGGCCAAACATGCGCCGCTCCAGCGCGCCGAGGCGGAGTGCGGGGTGGTCCTCGGCGGGCGGCGCCGCGTCGCGGAAGCGGGGCACCTCGTCGTCGGCGTCCTGGTCGCGGCCGTCGCCGTCGTCGTGCCGGCCGGCCTTGAGGAGGGCCAGCCGCGCCATGGGGGTCAGCCGGCCGGCCAGCCGCAGGGACGCGTCGAGCTCCTGGACGTGGCGGCTCGGCCTGCAGGGCCACGGCGGTGGAGTGAGACATTGCTTCCAGTGTAGGTCGCCACCGACGGCAGTTCGTGGAACTCACCCCGGCTGCTCCCCGCTGGCGGCCGCTGTCGTTGCGGTGGTCGTGGACGTGCTCGACGTGCTGGCCAGGCGCTCCTGGATGTCCCGAAGGCGCTCCTCGCGCGCCAGGCGCTCTGGCAGCGACAGCCGGGACGCCTCATCCTCCTCTGCGTAACAAGAACAAAAATCAAGCCAAACATGTTTTTGTTTGTCTCCAGGGGTAGCCGACGTGGTGGCCGGCAGCCACTGGCCACTGCACTGTCAAACCAAGTGTGGAGACGGCAAACTCTGCACTTCCGCAAAATGCGGATGCTGAAAATGCCCCACTTCGGCGTTTCTGATTACAGAGTGGCGTTACCGTGGCTGAGCAGCAGCTGCAGGTCGTGCAGGGGCAGCCCCGTGCCGGCGAGGTCCTCGACGTGGCGCGCGCGCTCCGCCCTGGCCGTGAAGTCCCGCAGGCTGGACGCCCCCGACGACACGCTGCTCAGCGGCAGCACGGCGGCCGCGCGGTGGAATTCGCGCTCCCGCTCCCTGGCGCGCTGCCTGCAAGACAAGTCCAAGACAAGTCGGAAAACAATTTGAAAACAATTTGAAGACAAGTCGACGACAAGGGCCTCGTCCAGTGCACCGCAAAGAACCCAGACCAAGCCCGGTGACCTCCTCCAAGGCCCACGAGCGCTTCTCCCAGCAAGGAGTCAAGAAACGAACAAACTTAGACGTGCACAATTAATTTTGACAGAAAAAGCGTTTCTACGCGAGTGGGAACTTGCGAAACCTTGCCGAAGGAATGACAGAGCTGTTTGAAAATGAAACAGGTGAATGAACGCAAAACTCCGCCGCCGGCATTGCACTGCAGCGTTCCATCATAGGCATTCGCTGTCGCAGAGCAGCGACAGCAAGCGACAGCATCAACCGAGAACGCAGAGCAGAGGGCCGCGGCAGAGGCGGCAAAACACACGTCCTGGAAAAGAAAGCAAGCGCTCTCAACTTGCTGACTGGTTGACAGCAGCCCTTCTTTGCGCGCGGTTCGGCCCCGGGGGACCGCCGCGTTGCCGCGTTGGCGATGCTGGTCGCGCGGAAGCGCGGCGACGTCGGTCAAGTTACGCGCCGAACCGAAAGTGGCTTTGACGGCCACCCCGTCCCGCCAGTCCCGCCCGGGGTGCCAACTTTCACCCCTTGCCTTTCCCCTTTCCCCTACCGGGCCGGGCCGTTTGGGTCCACGGTACAGCCTGGCACAGCCCACGCATACTCACTGGTGCAGCGACGTGCCCGCCAGCGTCTGCTTCGCCACGAGCTCCTTGATGACCCTCTTGCTCTCCTCCGCCACGTGCGCGTCCGGAGCCTCTCCCTCCGGCAGGCGGCCGTGGCCATGGCCCCTCCCGCGGCCTCCGCGCACGCCGGCCATGCTGCAGCACCGGGGATCCGGCAGCTCCAGCAAGCAGGGCTTGAAGCGGGGCCTGCCAAAAGGCCCAAAGCAGGGCACTTGTTGAGCGGTGGGATCAGGATCAGCCGAAAAGACTCATTCTGATCTGACTCTCGTCGCCGTCTCTCTCGCACTCATGGGCATCCCGTGTGGGTGCGAGAGAGACAGAGCGATTCAAAAGAGTCGTTTCGTCGTTCTGTCTCTGTCGAACTCATGAGGCTCTCTAAAAGGGTGCGAGGGAGACAGCGACGAACCGATCGCTTGGCTGGGTGCTGATGGTTGTCAATTCATCTATTTAACGGAATTTTGTGTTGGTTTGTGCTTTTGAGCGGCGTCATTTTCCGTCATCGCAGTGTGTAGGGGCCGGAGTATCGCTGATCAGTAACTTGCGGATCGTCCGCCAGAGGGCGGGCGCTGCTGAATGAGTGGAGAGGCCGTCCAGTCCTCCACCGCAGCGTGGGGTATCGCCAGACGCCGGACTCAACAAAACACCAACTTGTTTCCCTAAGTAATGCTAGATTCCCACAATTAATAGGCAAGGGTCTAGTCGCACCTCCATCCCTACCCTTCCCCGAAAGATAAGAAAAGAACAAAAAACTACTTGGGTATTGTCAGTAGCCACAGCCACAGCACGGCATGGTTTGGTTCAATGAAGGAATTAACGGCTTAAACTTCTTGTCCCTCCCAAGACCCCTAATATTGATTGAAACTCATTGTTGCTTGCAGTTGATCACACAGATCGGAACTTGGGAGGTTCTGAATCAAATAAAGTCTAAGGTGAAACAAACAATTTATTTTTTAAAAAAAGTAATAAACTTTACAGATCTACGCACAGCTTAGTACACAGAATTCTGAAACAAAAGTTAAGGAGCAATTGCAAATAGTTTGATAAAGAGAACTCAACACATTCTGTTAATCCTGGTCAAAGGAGAAACTTAAAAGGCAATAGACAATAAAAGGAAAAGGAGAGCCATTCAAATGTCAGCAGCAAACCAAATTTTACACTTATTGGTTTTTCATTTACAGGTCAACTCCACATTAATACAAAACAAAAACTGTATCTGAAACAATATTACTTATAAAACACAAAAGAAATGAAGGGAGCTAAAGAAGTAAATCACAGCTAACTTCTTAACACAGCAAGACACAAATAGGCTCAATCACTAATATCATGCACAATACGAGCCCTCTTCTTTTTCTTGGCTTTTCTAGATTTCCCTTCAGATTCTGGGTTCCTAACAATTGGAGAATCTTCACTATTCATATGGACTGACTGTGAAATATCAAGGCTCTTAGATGCTACTAATTGAAGACACTTATTGATATCAATAAGACTAGGAACAGACTCTGTTTTCCTACTGTCACAGACTCCATTGAAGATTTTCTCCGATGCCAACTTGAACAACTCCAGATTTTTCTTCTGCAATAGGTTCATTTGTTTCTTATGGTAGGATGTCTCCTCTGATGTAGCAGAAGGATCTTTGCTCAAGTCAACTTGAGAAATACTATAACCCTCAGTCTCAAACATAGGAGTAAACACTAACTCATTCAGAACAGAAATTTCCACACTTAATTCAGAGCTGTGAGCTGAATCATTCACCCGCTGCAGACGATGCATAACAATATTTGGTTTCATCTTTTCAGCAAATATTTGAGAGGGCAGGAATGTAAGGAAGGCATTGGTGACTTGTCCTTTATGCTGAATGGTCCGTAGGGACTGTTTACTTTCAATGTGCCACAGCCGAACAGTTTCATCAGCGGATGCTGAGAGCAGAGTTGATGCATCTTGTGATGAGGAAAGTGCTGTAACTGTTTTAGTGTGACCTAAAAGAGGGATGCAAATGATACAGGATATTAGCCAGAACTCTCACGAATTCATGCCATGACTTACAAGTCATATTTACCTTTAAAAACGGATTCCTTTTCCTCCTCAGTAAGGTGACACTGTAGTTGACGTGGTTTGTCACATAAACTGACATGTAATATGTCTCCAGAATTGCACCCCAGAAACAGTGATGATTCTAGAACATCTGCGACCACTGATGTCAGATTTTCACCGTCAACAACAAGTGACAACAAGAGTTTTCCAGAACTTAAGTCATAAACTCTACATGAGCCATCCAATGATACTGATACTATGCGTGATCTTGAACCACCACTACCCACATAAACATCTCTGAAACACAAAGGGTTATTATTATTATTAAAAGAAAATTAACTAGAAGGATGGGAATTAATACCAAGCACTAGAACTGATTGTACTTACTTCACTGCAAGATAATGATCCGAAAAACTGTGAATAGCTTCCAAATGCCCATTATCAGTGGCAGTTAGATATTTGAGAGACCAAACACAAACCATTCCATCTTCACCAGCTGATACAAAATGGCTGCCGTCTTCAAAGAATCGAATACATGTGATAGGTTGAAAATGGCGAGCTGCCACACCCATCAATCGGCCTGCCTCAACCTGTTAAAAAGAAAATTATACAAAATAAAGTAAATTTGAGTTCAATAGAAGAGGAAATGACTAGGATTCTAGTTCAATCTATTTAACGATAATAAATTGGACACTTTACATTCACAAACGAACACTTTACCTGCCAAACATGAATTTTCTCTCCAATCCCTGCGACAATAAATTTGCCATTGGGGCTTACAGCTAAGGCTCCAATTAGACCAGGACACACAGTACGCAAGTCGTGAGATGGTTCCGAGCTGTTTACTGGCCATACATGAAGCAGAGGCTTCGTTTTCTCAGCCCCGATGATGTAGTCCGAGCCAACAAGTGCGACAGCATGATTGCCACAAACACCACCACCCTATAAACACAAAATGTTAGGAATACAAGTTTCTAGTTTGAGCAACAACATAGGGCACAAAATTTAGATGACCATTTACCTTGTAAGTCATGAGTTGAGATCCGGTTACCGTATCCCATACACTCACAGACCACAGTTGCCCACTGGCTTCCGAAGTAATGGCAACTTCTACAGAGTCAGTCATTCTGCTGCTCTGTGACCAAATTGGGACCCATTAGACAAAGAACAAAAATTGGCAACTCAGAGTGAATCAAATGAAGTTCGAAACATTCTTTCAAAGACATTTGGTATTGACAGCTTGGCTGAGAAGTTTCTATTTTCCTCAAAGCTTTGAATTTTGGACAGGGGCTCCGAAACAAAGGGAATCAAAATAAACAACGAAACTAAAACTTGTAAATGAAACTTGGGAAGTGCATGAAATACCACGAAACCGAGGACCTTACTCGCGAATCAATAGTGAAAAGGAACGCACCAAATCACATGAACTTGAGGGGTTATAATAGACGCATGCCACTAGTCATGATTCAGGCTTAACCGACGAAACATTAACAACATGACAACTCAGAGAATGAGTTTCACAAGTGCAATGAACTTGTACTTACTGAAATTGTTTCGTTCGTGGACCGAAAGAGCTTCAAGGTTCACTTGAAACCCAAGCAAAAGAAATGCACACTTCTGCCCGAACGGCAGTCAAACAACACGAGGCCCGCGGCCGCGCGCTTGTCGCAGCTTGTCGCTGCTCGCCTGTTCCCCCTCCCATCTTCGTTCCCTTATTTATGAGAAATTGCTACGGTCCAAGTCGACTTCCAAGTTGCCAACCACACAATCACTACGAACTTTTTCATTCATTCATTTATTCATTCACTTAGTCATTCTTGACCATAGGTTGAATTACTTTTTGAATAATTTGCATCTTCAAAAGGTAAGATTTGTGTTCATACCCTTTGAAAGACTGCATTTGGTCTCGAGATGATGTTTGTAGGTTTGTAACAGGAGGCCAGGAAAACATTTTCAAATCCGCTACAAAGCAGAAACTCGTTTCGCTTTACTGAAAGCTTGCCAAAACATGAGGCACTGTCGTCGATTTAAAAGAATTCAAAACAAAAAGAACAACACGTTTATTTGTGGGCAAAAGTATCCTCAAGCCGGTGGCGCCTGAAAGATAGGCATCATTACACTTTGACCCCATGTTCACACAAGGGTCAGTGCAGGTGGGAAGGATCAAGCACAGCAGGAGCGGGTGGAAAATCGTCCACCCGTATCATAGAAACTTTCGACACTTAAAAACACTGCCTACTGGTTATTGGTACCCTACATGATCGTGCATTAGTCTTCGCGAATCTCAAAATAAGCTCAGCGAGGCGGGGAGGGGGGTTCTCAAAATGCACCGTGTCTCCTCCGTTTTCTGTCCCCGCGCATCGCAAGGTAAAGCACGCTTAAGCGAGCTGAAGCAAGATAAAGCGAGCTAAAGCCAGCTTAAGCGAGTGAAACCAGGCCAAAGCAAGCTAAAGCGAGGCGAGCTGTAGCAAGCTGAAGAGAGAGGCGGCCGAGGCACAGGCGGTTACTGGCGGTTACAGTGCGCGGCCGAGGAGGGCTGGCGAAAACATCAGCTGTTCGCGTCCGGGGCGGGGCGGGGAAGCGGGCGGGGCGTCGCTGCCTCGCGGGTCCGCGGCGTGGCGGGGCGTGGAGCGCTTGGCGCCGCGCCGTGTGCCGTTGCCGTCCCGTGGCTGTGCCCGTGCCAGTGGTCGCCGGGCGCTCGAGCCGGTTGGACGTGTGTTCGTGCCGCGCGCAAGTCTCACTGAGTGTTCCGCCTGCCGCCGCCTGCCGCAGTCTGCCGCCACTCGACGTAACGCCGTAGGGCTTTCCCGGCTGCGGCGCACTGCGGCGCTCTCCCTCTCGCCCAGCAGCGCGGCGCCGAGACCGAGCGCCAAGCAGGCCAAGCAGGTCAGCAGTGTGGACACGCGGGCGAGACGCGGCGAACCGGTACTACCGGCGCGAGTGCAGCGGAGCTTCCTCGCGGACGGACTCCCAGACCGTGCGGCTGAGGCTGAGCGCGGAGCTTTGCCGGCTGCAGCACACTCGCGCGCACCGCCAGCACCGCGCACCCCGGACACTGTATCGATTGTTACTTGTGTTTACCACGCTGCGCCGCCGCCAGGACCTCGCCGCCTGGCTCAAGAGGACGCCGTTGTGAGGACGCCGGGGGGAAACATCTCCGCCACGAGTTGCTACCCTGTGTTTTGGTGAGTGCAGAACGAGAGACCGCGCCGGGGAGGCTTACGGTGGAGGGGAGGGTGTTGCACCCCGCGCCGCCGCGCGCCTCCCTGCGCCGCCTTACGCCGCCCCACGCCGCCCCACGCCGCCCCGCCCCGCCCCCAGCAGCCCCAGCCGAGGCCCCATCCGCCCTCCCGGCGACAAGGCGCAAGGGGCAAGGCGGCAACGACCTCCCCGCCGAGCGGCGCCGGGCCGCCCCCGCCCGCGGCTGCCGGGCCCGCCGGGCCGCGCAAGCCGACACACGGTGTAGTGGCGGCTTAACATTTTCACAACACGCACGACGAGTGGGCGAAACAGTGCGCATCAGCATCGACCGGCATGCAGCCCATGAACCCCGATGGCGTGAGGCCCCACGGCCCGACCTGGGCTGGGCCGGGTCCTCGGTCGGGTCCTCGGTCGGGTCGAGGGGTCGGCAACTTCCCTTGGCCGTGTACGGGGGAGTATACGTATATTACCAGTAATATAGGTAATATATGTGTAATATAAAGAAATACAAAGTAATATATAGTAATATAAGGGTATTATAGAGGTGAAATTGTGGTAATATGCAAGTAATATATGGTAATATAAAGGTAATATACGGGTAATATAGCCACCGCGTACGAAGTAATATATGAGTTGCCGACCCCTCGGGTCGGGTCCTCGGTCGGGTCCCAACCGAGCCCAAACCCAATCTGAATTGGCTTTGCCCGCCTACCCCGCACCCAGCTGCACTCAAACCGGGTTTGGTGCCACAGACCGTCGGGGCTCAAACGGAGCGGGGGTCTTGTGCCGTGCGCCGGTCGCCACCACTCCCTGCTGGCCCGCTGGCCGCCTGCGGCCCGACAGTCCAGCCGCCAATCTAATTTTGATCGCCGCGCCCGGGGAGAGGGAGGGAGGGGGAGGGAGCACTTTGATGAGCAAGAGAGCTGCCACGCAGCGCGATGAGTGGACATAGTTCGATATTGCGGGAACACGGAACAGACAGCGGCGCCGCGGCGGAGGGAACCGAGGGGAACTCATAGGTGGACGATGGTGGACTTGAGGGAGGGGGCGGGCAGAACTTCGTCGTCTGCCCGCTTGAGTGTGTGGCTAGACCACCCTCACCTGCGTTCGCTAGCAATAAAGCTCGTGCGTTTGCGACCGCTCCGCGCTCCGCTCGCAGTGATCAGCGGAAAGTTTGGTCCGAACGAAATCAGTGCCGCGCGCTCGGCCCGCGTCCGCGCACGGCCCGCACGGCGTAGGCCGGCGTGGACAGGGACTTGGAGGCAGGGGATTCCCTGGAGTGTAGTGGCGAGGCACACATGCGTCGGCATGCTCCGCGTAGCTCTGCGGGGCCGAGTGCCACTGCCGGGCTGGAGATAAGACCTGTACCGACCTACGGGCTGGATCGAGCCAGCGCTGCCCGCAGGTCGCAGGCCGCAGGCCCTGGTCTTCCCTTGTCTCCGCCCACACACTCAGTCTCACACACTCTATCACGCGCGCGCACACACGCACACACACAAGCGCGTTGGAGCATTGACTCACTCGTATCGTGTCGGAGCCATTGCTCCATTATCGCTGTCAAGACGAATTGCCTGCGCCTGCCCCTTTGAGGCACCACCTCTCCCCTTCCTCGTGGCACAGCTGGTAGTGCTGGTAGTACTGGGAGGGCTGCAAGGGCTGGGAGTGCTGCAAGCGCCGTAAGGGCTGCTAGTGCTGGTAGGACCGCCATGGTGAGATTATCAGGCCGCTGCATGCAGCCAGCCAAGGTCCCTTGGGCGGGTGCGGCGCGGGGCCTGCAGCCATGCGGTGGGGTGGGGTGGGGCGGGGTGGCATGAGGCGCTGGCCCGAGGACCTGCGTACTGCCTGTGCGTGTGTAGGTGTGGCACGACGGGTTTTGGTGTGTGTGGCGCCGCCCCGCCCAGCCCCGCCCCGCCCCGCCCCACCAGCCGTGCGTGCATCCATGCGGGTGCATGGTGTTGGTGGTCGTATGGGCCTAAGCCCCGCAGTCGGACCTCCTGCTGGGTGTGCTGCGCAGCGCACTCACACTCAGACAGACAGACAGACAGACACACACACACACTCGCAAACACGCACAGATACTCGCACAGCCTCACCACACGCACTCACACACACACACACACGCTCAGCCCCGCACACCACGTGACACCGGATCGACGCGGTCTGCTGCGCAGTTGTCGCCACGCGCGCACTCACTTAGGGGAGTTCTCGGGGTTGGGCTGGGCCGTTGCGTCGCCAGTTCGGGAAACAGCCCCTCCGGTGGGAATATCACCTGGACAGGCCGTCTATTTGGACGGCAGCGCCACGTGGCAGTGACAGTCGCAGGCAGTTGCAGTCGTGGATAAGCGGAGCGGCGCGCTGACTCCTCCCGAGTGCGATGTCGGCTCGCTGTCAGCCCCGCCGTCACCTTCCGTGCCGTGTCGCCGTCAAACGCACAGAGTGACGGAGTCGACGAAGTGCACTCTCGCGTCCAGTCTCGACCCCCATCCCCCATCGCCCTTCTCGCAAGGTCGACATGATCCCCGCCCCGTTTGAGCCCCGACCGCTTTGGGCCGAGCCCTGTCGTGCTCGGTTTGAACCCGGGCTCGTTTGAATTGACGTCCGAGTTCGGTTGGGGCTCAGTTTGCGCCTCAGACCACCGGACGGGGCTCGTGTCGACCCTGCCTTCTCACCGATTCCCATGATGTTCTCCAAGGCATGCGCGGACACCAGGACACCCTCTCCGTGGCACCGAGCTGGCCGCTCATGGCAGGCAAGGCCGGCAAGGCGAGCAAAACAGCCCCTTGGAATGACCTCCTCCTTGGCGCCGACCCACCCCACGCCCACCCCACGCCCACCCCTCGCCCACCCCTCGCCCACCCCTCGCCAACCCCTCGCCAACCCCCGCCCAGGGTCGTCCGCGGCCTCAGAGGGAGGGAGACTCGGCTGGAAAGAGACGGCCTCATAGGGTTGAATGTGAGAGCCAGGCCCCAGCCGCTCGGCTCGGCCGTCTGCCTGAGACTTGGGTGGACCTAGAGACCGAGGGACCACTTGCATGGTCCCGGCCGTCCCGGCCCGAGTGCACGCACACCGACGCACACGAGCTGCGGTCCGGCGGGGCGGGGCGGAAAGGAGCTCCTTTCGGAAACGATTCGGACGCGTCCTTCCCCCAAGTGACATTCGCACAGTTGCGGCAGCCGGCTGGCGCGGCCGGAACTCGCCGTCGTCGTGTTTGCGTCTCCGATTTTTTTTTGCGCAACCTTCTCGTTTGCAGAGCGCGCGCGCGTCGGAGTGGTCGGACGCGTCGCCCAAGCGGCTACAGCACTGCAAAGCGCGGGGACGACGGGGGCGACGGGGGCGCGGCGGAACAATGTGGCTGCGGTTGCCGAGCCTAGTGCCACCGCCACGCCACGCCACGCCACGCCACGGCGTAGCGACTGCGTCACGGCTGCAAGTTTATCCCGGTGTGAGCGGGAGGCATCGGCCCACATTCCTGCTCGGCCCGGAGTCTGCTTGCTGCGGTCACAG